ATGTTTACAGAGGTGGAAGCTGCATTCAAGGAAGGTCGCATCGCCAGCTTGATCGGTGTTGAGGGAGGTCACGCTATACAGAACTCTCTAGGTGTGTTGAGAGCCCTGAGGGACCTTGGTGTACGATACTTGACACTCACCCACACCTGCAGCACCCCCTGGTGAGTCTCCACACCTGCATCACCACCCCCTGGTCAGTCCTCACACCTGCAACACCCCTTGATGAGTCCCCATACCTGTAGCAACACCCCTTGGTGAGTCCCCACACCTGCAGTAACACCACCTGGTGAGTCCCCACACCTGCAGTAGCACCACCTGGTGAATCCCCATACCTGCAGCAGCACCCCCTGGTGAGTCCCCACACCTGCAGTAGCACCACCTGGCGAGTCCTCACACCTGCAGTAGCACCATCTGGCGAGTCCTCACACCTGCAGTAGCACCACCTGGTGAGTCCCCACACCTGCAGTAGCACCACCTGGTGAGTCCCCACACCTGCAATAGCACCACCTGGTGAGTCCCCACACCTGCAGTAGCACCACCTGGTGAATCCCCATACCTGCAGCAGCACCCCCTGGTGAGTCCCCACACCTGCAGCAGCACCCCTGGTGTCCCCACACCTACAGAAGCACCACCAGGTGAGTCCCCACACCTGCAGCAGCACCTGGTGAGTCCCCACATCTGAAGCACCATCCTCTGGTGAGTCTCCACACCTTCAGCACCTCCTGATGAGTCCCCAAACCTTCAGCATCTCCTGGTGAGTCCCCACACCTTCAGCACCTCCTGGTGAGTCCCCCACACCTGCAGCAGCAGCACCTGTGGTGAGTCCCCACACCTGCAGCACCCTCTAGTGAGTCCCATACTGGCAGCAGTACCCCTTTTGAGTCCTCAGACCTGCAGCACCCTCTGGTGAATTCTAACATTTGCAGTAGTACCCCCTGGTGAGTCCCCACACCTGCAGGACCCCCTAGGGAGTCTTCACACCTGAAGCACCACCCCCTGGTGAGTCCCCACACCTGCAGTAGCACCCCCTGGTGAGTCCCCAACCTGCAGTAGAATCCCCTGGTGAGTCCCCACACATGAAGCCCCCTTGGTGAGTCCCCACACCTGCAAGAACCACTCCCTGGTCAGTTCCCACACCTGCAGCACCATCCGCTGATGAGTTCCTACACCTACAGCACCGTCTGGTGAGTCTACACACCTGCAGCACCACCCCCTGGTAAGTCTCCCCACCTACAGCACCCCCTGATGAGTCCCCACACCTGCAGCATCACCTCCTGGTGAGTCCCCACACCTGCACCACCACCACTTGGAGAGTCCCCACACCTGCAGCACCACCACTTGGAGAGTCCCCACACCCGCACCACCCTTGGAGAGTCCCCACACCTGCAGTAGCACCCTCTGGTGAGTTCGCACACCTGCAGCACCCCTTGGCGAGTCCTCTCACCTGCAAACACTACCCCCTGGTGAGTTCCCTGGTAACTCACCACACCTGCAGCAACACCACCTGGTGTGTCCCCACGCCTACAAAAGCACCACCAGGTGAGTCCCCACCCCTGCAGCAGCACCTGGTGAGTCCCCACACCTGCAGCATCATCTCCTGGTGAATCCTCACACCTACAGCACTTCCTGGTGAGTTCCCACACCTGCAGCAGCACCTGGTGAGTTCCCACATCTGAAGCACCATTCTCTGGTGAGTCTCCACACCTTCAGCACCTTTTGGTGAGTCCCCACACCTTCAGCACCTCCTGGTGAGTCCCCAAACCTTCAGCATCTCCTGGTGAGTCCCCACACCTTCAGCACATTCTGGTGAGTCCCCCAACACCTGCAGCAGCAGCACCTCTGGTGAGTCCCCACGCCTGCAGCACCCTCTAGTGAGTCCCATACTGGCAGCAGCATCCCCTTGTGAGTCCTCAAACCTGCAACACCCTCTGGTGAGTTCCAACATTTGCAGTAGTATCCCCTGGTGAGTTCCCACACCTGCAGTAGGACCTTCTGGTAAGTCCCCACACCTGCAACAACACCTCCTGGTGACTCACTGATAATAAATGAGACCAAGAGTAGAGAAATAAATGCTGGGATAAGAGTCCCTCTAGATGGACTCTGGCGGTACAGAGGACAGGAATGATCAAGTCAGCCTACCAAAATGTGCAGTAATAATATTGGTAAAATTACCGAGAATATGTTAGGTAAAAGGACACGAGTGTGAATAATGTGACATTTTACTGTCACAACGTTTCACTCTCCAGGAGCTTGGTCAAGCCGTTACGGCTTGACCAAGCTTTGGAGAGCAAAACGTTGCCATAATGAAATGTCACATTAGTTTCACATCCTACGAAAAGCCGGAGGGCCTTGCCAGATAGTGAAGCAGCAGCAGGGGTTATATTTGTCAGGAAGTGTGGGAATGTATATTACATAGAGAACATTGATTTAGTTAGAGCTGCGGAGAGGTCAAGGGTAAAGCAAAAGAGCACGGGTAAAAGGACAGAACAAAGACAACGATAGAGAAATGGGAGAAGAACAGAATAACGAGGAATCACTCTGCCAAGACAAAATAGGATGTAGACGGTCAATTTAAGAACGATATAACAGCTAAGGCAAAAATCAGAGCCGCAACGACTACATTGCCACACAAGAAAGAAGACAAGTGTAAAAGACCAAGTGTTATGGGTGAGGGAGGAGGCAGGAGTTCTCCCAGAAGACGATAGAGAAGTTTGCGAGAAATTAACCAGAAGTTTTATGGAGGTATTCGCTGGGGAGACAGATTGTTTTAGAAAGCGGAGTAAAAATACTAGCCAGCAGATGTTGGATAGAATTCACATATCACAGGGAATTAATGAAACTCCTTAATAAAGTGGACACATGTGAAGCAATGGGACCTGACAAAATACCACCCTGTACACTGAATGAATGAGTAGGAGAACTGTATGAATTTATAGCACAGATTTACAAGTCATAAGAGATGGAAAACCTACCGGACAACTAGAAAACTGAAAACGTCTTATAATATAAAAAGGCAGGTTAGACAAGAGTATGTGAATTACAGTCCAGCATCAATGACATGCATACTGCCCAGTGATCTGGGAAAGATAATCAGGAAGTGGTTGGTTGAGCACGTATGGAGAAGGTGACGTTGTAACCGGAAACCATCATGGATTTAGGGAAGGTAAGTCCTCCCTCACTAATCTACTGGAGTTCTCTGACAGAATAACTGAAATCAAACAAGAATGACAAGGATGGATCAACTGCAAATTTATGGACTGCGAGAAAGCATTTGACACTGTGTCCCACCAGAGAATGATTCCAGAATTAAAGGAGCACTCAGTGATAGGATATCTAGTCCTACAGCGTCATAACTAATAAAAGGCAAAAGATGATAGGAAAGGTAGATATGTCAAGATGGGAAAGTGTAACAAACGTGATTCCACGAGGATCAGTACTGCGACCATTACTATTCTTAATATAAGTACGGTAAATGTCCTGCCAGACGGGAGAGAACAGTATCATACCTACGACATAAAATTAATGACAACGGAAGAGGATAAAGACAAGCTTCAGGAAGACTTGGATAAACTGCAAGAATGGTCGAACAAAAGGTCGATGGAATTCAACCCAGATACGTGCAAGGTCACGAAAATTGTGAATTGGAAAACCATACTACCTGAGAGGCGAGAAGCTACAAGTGTGACTTTTGGAGGAAAATGACGAAGTGAGCATCATACTCAACACAAACCTGAGGTAAAACATATACTGAACAAGGACTCGAACCGTGGCCCTTGCATGTAGCAAGCTCACCATTGTACCAGTATTTATTCATCACTGTTATATTCACTGTTTATTAACTGCTTATTCAATTTTTATTCAGTGTTTGTTCACCGTCTATTTACTGTTTATTCATCACACCCAACATATCACCAGAGGTGAACGTAAACCACACAACATCTGCAATATATGCTAGGGTAGTTAATCTCAAGACTGCCTACAAAGCCTCAGTAAATAATCCTTTAGTACTCTACACGACATATGTCAGGTCTGTCATGAAGTATGCAGCACCAGCATGCATCCTTCACTTGATTAACCACACACAATAAATAAGAAAGGTTCAGAGATTTACAACTAGAATAGTCCCAGAGTTGCGGGGACTCAGCTATGAAGACAGACTAAAGCAACTGCAACTGAGGATTTAGGAAAACTTGAGGAGATATGATAACGACATAAACGATACAGAGCATTTTCCAAAGCAGATAGGGACAGAAGTCTTGAAATGCGAGGCATAGGGGGAGGTCAGGGTTCGCAGACTGACGCTAAAGACACAGATGAGCCACAGGGATGTTAGGAAATAATTTTCAACCTCAGGTTGGTAAACAAATGGAATGAGCTCAATGAGGAAGGTGTAGAGGCACACTCAACACAGCTTCAGTAATAGATACGACCTGTCAGGAACCGAGACTCGACCCCCTGTCAACACACCCAGGTGAAAACTGACACGCACTGTCTCCCCTTCCCCCCCACCAGGGCGGAGTGTGCGCGTGCGCAGGAGACTGACGCTGAAGACCCCAACTCCCCCAGGGGATTGACACCCTTCGGCAAGGTAAGTCTCCCAAAGTGTTGCAAGAAGTGCCAAACCCAAGTGGTTTATTGAGTGCAAGGTTTGATCCTTTCTTTCGGTAATCGCTGCCTGGTCTGTGATCAGCCAGACTGTTGGTGCTAGTGAGTCAACAATGTCTCTAGCTAAGTATTTAGGGGACACCGCAACACTATGATGTGTAAAGGATGCCACAGGATAATTATATATGGGCAGGATACCAGAGAATCCTTTGAGGACAAAATACCATAGTATCCTTGATGACAGGATGTACTAAAAAATGCTTGGGGGCAGGATATACTAGGATCCTTCAAGACAGGATATACTAGAATTCTTGAAGGCAGGATATACCAGGATTCTTGAAGGCAGGATATACTAGGATTTTGAAGACAGGATATACTGGGATCCTTGAAGGCAGGATATACCAGGATACTTGAAGGCAGGATATACCAGGATTTTTAAAGGCAGGTTTAATACTAAGGATTCTTAAAAGGGTAGGATAATACCAGATCTTCAGGGCAGGATATACTGGGGATCCACCCAGGGCAGGATTTACCAGGATCCTTGAAGGCAGGATATACTAGGATCCTTGAAAGCAGGATATACCAGGATTCTTGAAGGCAGGATATACTAAGATCCTTGAAATCAGGATAAACCAGAATCCTTGAAAGTAGGTTATACCAGTATCCTTGAAAGTTCGATATACCAGAATCCTTGAAGGCTGGATATACTAAGATCCTTGAAAGCAGGACATACCAGGATCCTTGAAGGCAGTATAAACGAGGATACTTGAGGGCAGCATTTACCAAGATCCTCAAGGGTAGAATATACCAGGATCCTTGATGACAGGATATACCAGGATCCTTCAGGGTAGGATATACCAGGATCCTTGATGGCAGGATATGCCAGGATCCAGGGCATACCAGGATCCTTAAGGACAGGATATGAAAGGATCCTTGATTTCAGAATATACAAGGACCCTTCAGGGCAGGATATCCAGGAACCTTTATGGCAGGACATACCAGGATCCTTGATGGCAGGATAATGCCAGAATCCTTCATGGCAGGATATACCAGTATCTTTCAGGGCAGGATATGCCAGAACCCTTCATGGCAGGATATACCAGGATTTTTCAAGGCAGGATATACCAGGATCCTACAGGGTAGGATACTCCAGGATCCTTCAGGGCAGGATATACCAGGATCCTTCAGGGCAGGATATACCAGGATCCTTCAGGGCAGGATATACCAGTGCCCTTCAGGGCAGGATATAACAGGATCCTTCATAGCAGGATATACCAAGATCCTTCAGGGCAGAATATAACAGGATCCTTCATGGCAGGATATACCAGTGTCCTTCAAGGCAGGATATACCAGTGTCCTTCAGGACAGGATATACCAGTGTCCTTCAGGACAGGATATACCAGTGTCCTTCAGGGCAGGATATACCAGTGTCCTTCAAGGCAGGATATACCAGTGTCCTTCAGGGCAGGATATACCAGTGTCCTTCAGGGCAGGATATACCAGTGTCCTTCAGGGCAGGATTGTTACAAAAAACGCGATATCTAATAATGATAGAGATCTCCAGTGAATACTAGAAAGGACAGCCCTTCTAGCATCCAGCCTGTTACTGGGTTTTCGTAACAAGTAGTCGGTATCCTTGTCCAATTATCCATTAGAATTCAATAAGATTCAGTAGTGCTTCAGGATTACAACTGGTAGGCTACTAACTAAAGAAATTAAAATTTAATAAGTTTATTAATAACAAAGTTGTCTAGGCGTATAAATTTAAAGTAATCAATTGAATGTAATATAGGATACAAATTGCTACACTTCTCTCGTGTACAGTAGCATTGTGCTGAAGGCACATATCACATCTTAATGGCTTTTAAGTACCGTCTGGTACATTGTTAGCAATTGATAACATAATACAAATATATACAAGTTTGTGTGTAAGTGTGTAAGTGCTCTAAGTAGTTCGCTATGTCTCAAGACTCGACTAGACTTAACCAGTGACTGACGAAGTTCTCACATAAACTAACTTCTTGACCAACTGGCAATCAGAACAGCTTGCTTGAATAATAAAACGACTGATAAGCCGAACAACAATATAACAAGCAACAGCGACACAGAATCAGGAACAAGGAGATAATATAACGACACTAAGTAGGGACCATCAGCAGATCCTCCACAAAAGTCACAAAACTCCCATACTACTGAATCTAAGTTCAGCATCAGAAAATCCCCGACTGTGACAGTACACAGATACCAGTACAAGTTAGGTCAGAAGCTACAGCTCGGAACCTGAATTGCTCAAAGTGTCTATGAGATACACCACCTCAGTACAACGTCGAAAATCACTAAGTCTAGGCAATGTTCTGTGAACAGAGTTACACAGAACCAACAACAAGAAAACGACAGAGACGATCTTCCAACAAGGGCCATCAAGGGAGAGTTGGAGAGGCCGTCTTGTTGGAAGGCACGTCAAACAGACAATAGCTAGCGCAGGCCAGGCAGACTCTCCCTCCAGGTGAGGTGTGATCACCCCACCTTGATCACGTGACTCTCCTGCTGCTGCCCAGCAACACAGAGAAGCCGGCAGGGAAACAAGCGGAGCGATACTTAGACAATGTTGTCCGCTGTTTATAACTCACGAACTATGAGCACTAAATAATATATAAATGTTACATCCTACCTAATAATATAACTAAGTCAAATAATAATATAAAGCAATATATTTACGATTTAGCTAATATCGCAAATATAAGCAATATAAAATTATATGAACAGGCAATGTACATTATATACATTGTGACCCATTCAGGGGTCGCAATAAGGTTATACCAGTGTCCTTCAAGGCAGGATACCCCAGTGTTCTTCAAGGCAGGATATACCAGTGTCCTTCAAGGCAGGATATACCAGTGTCCTTAAAGGCAGGATATACCAGTGTCCGTCAAGGCAGGATATACTAGTGTTCTTCAAGGCAGGATATACCAGTGTCCTTCAGGGCAGGATATACAAGTGCCTTTCAAGGCAGGATACACCAATGTCCTTCAAGGCAGGATATACCAGGGTCCTTCAAGGCAGGATATACCAGTGTCCTTCAAGTCAGGATATACCAGCGTCCTTCAGAGCAGGATATACCAGTGTCCTTCAGGGCAGGATATACCAGTGTCCTTCAAGGAAGGATATACCAGTGTCCTTCAAGGCAGGATATACCAGTGTCCTTCACGGCAGGATATACAAGTGTCCTTCAAGGCAGGATATACCAGTGTCCTTCAAGGGAGGATATTTCAAGTGTCCCCTTTAAGGGAAAGGGTTTACCCTGTCCCCTTCAAGAGGATATACAAATTTCCTTCAAGGCAGGGAAAAAACAAGTGTCCTTTAAGGAGATATACCCCGTCCTTCAAGGAAAGGGTATACCATGTCCTTCAAGGCGGATAACCAACAATTTCAACCAGAACAATGGCTTCTATAACATAGCTGAACCACTCGCCAAGAAACTTCTTCATCGCTATCCCACATAAGAACATAGAACACTGCAGAAGGTCTACTCACAACTTGTCCAATATCCCCGCCTAGCTACCCAAGACTCTATAACCCCACCCGGTAGATCATCAGATGCAGCATTCTCCACCTGACCTCAACATTCTGAACTATAAATACTCCCGTACCTTCCATCCAACCCCAGGTAGATCCGTGTGTGACTTGAAAAAGCCCACTGTGTGGGTGAAACGTTGTCAATAAAGGATCACATTATACTGCATTTGTGTTTATATTTCCAGTGATGGTAGTAGTGGTGGTGTTGCTAGCGGTGGTGATAGGTGGTGGTGGTGGTTGTGGTAGTGGTGGTAGTGATGGTAGTAGTGGTGGTGATAGGTGGTGGTGGTGGTGACAGGTGGTGGTGGTGGTGATAGGTGGTGGTGGTGGTTGCGAGGCTACAACAATATATGTTGAAACAGACTTGGTAAATAAGACTGCGTGAGGAGGAACCAAGTTCGTTGTCTTTATCTTGTTAAACGAGATTGTTGTCACACGTGACTCTTAGTGTGGACACAGCTGGCCCAACCAGTGTCAATATTTACTGTGGATGACGTGTGGAGGGGTGGGGGAGAAAGGATGGGTGGGGGAGGGATGGTAGGGAGGGAGGGAACGTCGGGATGGAGGGAGGGGCAGTAGAGGGCGAGAGGCCTTAACGGTGTATTTAGGGAGGTCAGGGAGGAAGGACGGGGATTGTAAGAAGGGTGGGAGTATGGGAGACGTAGAGGAAGAGAAAGAAGTGGATGACGTGTTGGTCACCCATCATCCAATCGACGTGTTGGTCAACCATCATCCACTTGACGTGTTGGTCAACCATCATCCACTTGACGTGTTGGTCAACCATCATCCACTTGACGTGTTGGTCAACCATCATCCACTTGACGTGTTGGTCAACCATCATCCACTTGACGAGTTGGTCAACCATCATCCACTTGACGAGTTGGTCAACCATCATCCACTTGACGAGTTGGTCAACCATCATCCACTTGACGAGTTGGTCAACCATCATCCACTTGACGAGTTGGTCAACCATCATCCACTTGACGTGTTCGTCAACCATCCTCCACTTGAAATGTCATATGTACATCATGCAAGTCCATCTCTGTGGTCTCAACAGAGCAAAACCTCTGATGTTAAGAAACATTGACCAGTGGTCTGACTGGGGTTGTTTGCAGACCCATCTGTAAGGAACATCTTACTGACCTAAAAGTATAGTAAATTTACTAAGCTTCTTTCTGATTAGTTACTTTTATCTGGGAGCAGATCAATCGTTGTTAGTTTGAGTCTCCAGACAATGGGAAAGAATAGAGAAGGCCCTCATCCACCACCGAGAGATGGAAGATGGGCCATATTACAACCCAGGAGTCCAAATGGCCTGTTATCCTGAGTGTAAAGGGAGCAAAATAAACAGCAGAAAAACTTTTGACTTATATTATCCTTCACCAATTAGAACAGAAGTATGTACAC